GAATCTATGCAATATGTGAGGTGACAATGAAAAAATGTGAAATAGAGAATGCGGAGAATACTACTTTTAAAAAATTTCTAGCGGTTAATAATGTGCTGCATCCAGATCCCAGTTTAGCGCATAGAGAGTTAATGTGGCTTTGCCAGTTTAGCTGGCTATCGAGAATTACACCCAGATATTTGAATTCGTTCGTCTTCTCAAGCACGCAGTTATTTATTGTAATGCAAATGGACTCATTACTTATATCTCGATAACGGGAGTGGAAAATAGTGTATTTAGTTTTCTTTGCATTCAGTGTTAGTTTATTCGCTATAAACCACTGACAAACATTTTTTATCTAGGTGGACTTCCTATCTTCTTCTTCAGCCGCTATATGTTGTGGTGAACGGATTCCGCACCTAACTAATACGGACTCCATGTTCGACAAAGGCGTCTACAAGCCACTACGCCTGTTCGCTCGCGAAGATCTCGAACTACCGCCACATCAAGAACGAATTGTGACCCTGATCTCTAAGGACATCGACCACGGTGACGTCTTGGTGTCCCCTTCGTTGACTTGCATCGCAAAAGGCCTAGCCCTTGCATCAGGTGTCGTACGCTTTCACCATGGCTCCGCGCTCGTCATTGCTACGAATGAAACGCCAGAGAAAGTTCTACTGCCAGAGGGCACTGCAGTAGCCTGTGTTGTAGGGAGCCCACATGAACAGCTGTTTTTAGGGTGGAGACATCTTAATAAGTGCCATCAAGAAACTCAGCCAAAACCAGCGGGCAACGGGGCACGCTGTTGCCAGCTTCCACCAAATTCAGCATAGTTTTCTGTGCGCCGCCATTTTGGAGCGAGCCGCCGCTCCCTCCAGCTACGCGAAGTACGGCGCAACAAAAAGGAGCCGACCGAGTGACAGCGGCGGTTCTCAGGGTCGTGTAAGCGACCCAGTTCTCAAAGTGAGCGCAGGAAGAAATTCGCAGCCCACACACAACACTTGCGACATAATACTGAGGTTACGCTGACACGAACGCAAGCGTGGCGACAGCTCAGACTAGCGAGCGCGTCTCCGTACGAACGCGCGGACGCGTCCCGTTTGTGGGCTTCCTACTCGCAATGCGTGGACGCAGCAACGACAACTTCGGTTATCTACTCATTCGCGAACACCACGAAACACATATACGTGTGCCGCAGGAAAAAACAGTGAACGAAATACGCAGTACTCACAGAGCAAATACGAGACGCACTGGTGGGCTCCCAGCCGTCTCGCTTCACTTGAGCCAGCCATAGTTGTCGTCGGCCAGGGCTCGCTGGGCAGCGGAACATTCACACCCCCTTTCTGTTGTGGTTAGTGCAGAGCGGTACGCAGCATCCAGGCATTCTAAGGCTTCACCGGCAGCGTTTAACACGCTACCGCAACGTTCGACGCCGTATTATTGAGAACTAAACGCAACCGGGCGTAGACGCAGTGCGGGCACCAAGATGGGGCGACAGCGCGGCGTTGCTGTCTGGCAACATTGTGTTTTGGCGGGCGGCGGTGCGTTGGCGGCATGTAGTGGATCAAAGGCTGACATCACCCTAAAAACGGCTGTTCAAGTAGGCTCCCTACTGTGTTGTGGATGCTGAGCCTGTCAGCGTCACGCCACTTAAACCTGCCTCTACCAACGACCATTCTATGAGTAAGCCTAGCACATCCTCTCCCTTCACAGCTCTTATCAGTGATGACTTAACAGCTATGCAGGCGCAGCAGTTGCTTGCGTTATTAACGAAATACGCCGATTCTTTCGACACCTGCTCCTCAACGTTGTGCTGAACTACCACTGCAGCGCATCGCATTCAGACGGAGGAAACATCTCTTGTACATCGCCGCCCGTACCGCGTGTCTCTCGCTGAGCGAAAAATCATAGACGAAAACGTCGCTGACATGCTCCAACGAGAAATAATTCGTCCATCAACTAGCCCTTGGTCATCCCCTGTTGTTTTGGTACGAAAAAAAGATGGCTCCGTGCTCTCTTGCGTTGATTACCGGGCACTTAACAACATCACACGCAAGGACGTATACGCCATGCCACGCATCGACGACGCCCTTGATTCACTGCAAGGCGCCGAATACTTTTCAAGCCTTGATTTGCGTTCGGGATATTGGCAAATTCCCATGCACGATGACGACAAAGAAAAAACGGCATTTGCAACCCCCGATGGCCTATACGAATTTAACGTGATGCCTTTCGGCCTCTGCAATGCGCCCGCGAAGATTGAACGCATGATCGACACCGTCCTGCGTGGTCTGAAATGGAAGACGTGTCTCTGCTACCTTGATGACATTATCATCTTTTCATCAACGTTTTCTCAGCACCTGAGGTGCTTGGATGACGTCCTAACATGCCTCGCCGGTGCGGGTCTGCAGCTCAACACTAAGAAGTGCCGTTTCGCCACCAAATCCATCGTGGTTCTCGGTCATGTCGTCAGCAAGGACGGTATTTGCCCTGACCCCGAAAAGATTGCTGCCGTCCTTCGATTTCCATACCCCACAAGACTTAAGGATTTGCGAAGTTTTCTTGGCCTCGCATCATATTTTCGTCGCTTCATACGAAATTTCGCTTCAATAGCTGCGCCACTTCACAAACTACTTGCATCTAATGCACCCTTTGTGTGGTCCGAGAAATGTAAGTCAGCGTTTCACCTATTGAAGAAAGCTTTGACGTCAGAGCCTGTACTCTGCCATTTTGATGACACCGCCCCAACTCTCCTGCATACCGACGCCAGCGGTTGCGGTATAGGTGCTGTTCTCCTCCAACGCGATAACTCTGGACGGGAAAGGGCCATCGCATATGCTAGCCGAGTGCTTACTTCTACCGAAAAAAAACTATACCATCACTGAGCAGGAGTGCCTCGCAGTGGTTTGGTCCATACAAAAGTTCCGTCCTTATCTGTACGGCCGTCATTTCACCATCGTAACGGACCACCACGCCTTATGCTGGCTTTCTACAATGAAGAACTTGTCCAGACGCTTGGGTCGTTGGATTTTACGCCTACAGGAGTATCAATTTATGATTATTTATAAATCGGGCAAAAACATCAAGACACCGACGCTCTTTCTCGTTGCCCACTACCTACGGCGTCATTCGACACTGCAGCTGCCACCTCCAACGACACCAGTGCGGACGTGGCTCCCACTTTTGTTGCCTTGCTCGCCTCACTGTACCAACCGCCAATCGACGATGAACAACCCTTCAGTTCTCGCCAGCAGGCTGACCCGTATTGTCGGCGCATTATAGACCACCTCTCAGGAGCTACGCGTCCACCCAATGCACGCCTTCGTCGACAACTCGAGCACTTCAAATTTCAGTACGGTGTGCTGTATCGTCACATATATCATCCTGACGGCCAACGCTGGGTACCTGTTCTGCCACGCGCTCTTCAACATCATGTACTTAACGCCTTTCATGACGATTTGACTGCTGGCACCTAGGCTTTCACAAAACCTACGACTGCATTCGAAGCCGCTTTTATTGGCCTGGGATTTCTACCAGCGTAGCAAAGTACGTGGGTTCCTACTCTCCGTGCCAACTTCGCAAACTTCCGACATATCCTCCGGCTGGTCAGTTACAGCCAATGACGTGCCCTACAAGACCTTTCGAGGTCGTTGGTGTCGATCTTTATGGGCCCCTTCCTGTTACTGGTGCTGGAAATAGATGGATAGCCACTGCCGTAGACCATATGACACGCTACGCCGAGACAACTTCAGTAGCTACTGGTTCAGCATCAGAAGTTGCTGACTTCGTCCTTCAGGCCATAATACTACGTCATGGTGCTCCTCGTGTACTTCTAAGTGACCGTGGAAAGGTGTTCTTTTCACGGCTTTTAGGTGAAGTTCTTCGCGTTTCTGGTACCACACAAAAGATGCCGTCAAGCTACCATCCTCAAACAAACGGTCTGACCGAGAGATTTCATTCAACCGGATCACAGAAACTGGGATAAATTTCTACCGTTCCCCACTTTCGCCTACAACACCGCTGTTCAGCGCACAGCCGGCTACTCACCGTTTTATCTCGTTTACGGACGTTCACCTACTTTCTTTATCGATGTTTCCTTCTTCACCAGCAATGGCCCTCCATCACCATCTTCTTGCGAAGAATATATTTCTAGCCTTGCCCAGTGCCGCCAGCGCGCTCGTATGAACACGGAAGCTACGCAACAAGCAAGGAAGGCCGTCTACGACACCTCTCATCGTGTGGTATTCCGACCAGGTGACGAGGTGCTGCTATTGACACCAAATCGCACACCTGGTCTCTGCGACAAGTTCCAGCCTCGATTCATCGGCCCATATGTTGTTTTAGAGCAGACTTCACCTGTCAACTATCGTGTGACGCCTCTTGTCGTGCCAACTGACCGCCGTTACCGCAGCACCGAAATTGTACACGTTTCCCGCATGAAGCTTTTCACACGATGTTCCTCGTCACCTTGACTGTCTTGTGGCTGGTGCCGTGCTAGCGTGGCAGAGCACGAGCGCAGAGAGACGATACGCACGACAGCTGCTCAGCTAACGAAAAAGGGGCCTCCCACTTTATTCGGGGCAGAATATATACAATCTCAGGGGCGCCACCTGCTAGTGGCAGCCGAACTAAATGACTGCAGGGTGGCGACCTCTACATCTCCCCTCTTGAAGACCAGACGGAAGACGGAGGACGCCAGACACTGCACATCACAAGTTCAGGTGGTTCGGAGGCACAACAAGGCGGCCACTACGTGTTCGTGTCACACCATCACTGCAGTCACTGTCTGCAGGGGGCAGTCCAAGGGAATCGAGTGGTTGCACTATAGTAGTTCGCTGGGGTTCCAGAGGGGGCAGTGTTCGCTGTGGCTCCTGCTCCTCGGACGGCGGTGGTTCCACCCTCGGCGTAGGAGGTACAAAAGGCACTAGGTGACGCCGGTTGCGCTGTAGGACGCCACCCTGCTCCGTTTCCACGACATAACTTCGTGGTCGGCGTGCTGGGCTAAGCACTGTAGCTTTGACCTAATCAGGTCGTACCCAGACACACTGGCCTGTTCGGAGCGATGACAGATCTTGAGCTCTGTGGTGCCTGTTAAAGTCAGCGGCCTGTTTCTGCTTGTAGGCTGCATCTTTTCTCCTCACGTCTTTCCTCGACGGCCAGTGAGGACATAACTGGGAGTCCTGTTTCGGCACTTTGGTTCGGAGTTGTCGTCCCATCAAGAGCTGGGCCGGGCTGAAGCCATCGACTCCGGGGGTGTCCCGGTAGCTGAGCAAGGCCAGATGAGGGTCTGTTGCTTTGCGAAACAACTCCTTGATTGTCCTGACCAATCTCTCCGCCTCTCCGTTCGATTGCGCATAGTGCGGGCTGCTGGTGACGTGGTCAAAGCCGTAAGATGCCGCCAATGCTGCAAACTCGCGTGAAGAGAATGGTGGACCATTGTCTGATCTGACTTCTCGCGGAAGCCCATGCCGGGCAAAGATGCTTTTGAGAACGTCGATGACTGCCTGAGCCGTTGTGCTCCGCAAGGTTACAACTTCCGGGTACCTGGAGTGGTAGTCCACCACCAAGATGAATGTCTGGCTGCGGAGGTGGAACAGGTCCACGCCGACAAGTTCCCAGGGACGTCCAGGTAGGACTGTGGAGACCAGGGGCTCTGCATGGTTCACCCGAGTGGAAGCACATTGCTCGCAGTTAGTTACCAGAGAGGCAATGTCTGCCGAAATGCCAGGCCACCAAATGGACTCTCGAGCGAGAGCTTTCGTCCTGTTGATGCCTTGGTGTCCTTCGTGTAACAGCGTCAAAACAGCCGGCCGAAAAGAATGCGGGATGACCATCCTGGCGCCTTTCAGTAGAACACCGTCGCAGACAGAGAGCTCATCAGCTGCTGAGGCATACTGGGAGAGGTGCAGTGGCAGTTTGGACTTCTGTGGCCAACCATTCTGGCAGAAGGAGGTGAGGGCTCTGCATTCGCCATCACACTCTTCTGCTTGTCGCACGTCCTCTGGGCTTAGTGGCAAGGCTTCTGACATGCCGCTGACCACTTGAGCTGCAAACAATTCCACGGTGTCCAGGGGGAGGGACGCCTTCTGGGTGATGCGTGACAAGGTATCTGCCATAGCTAACAGCTTTCCTGGCACGTGGAGCATTCCGAACTGGTATCGCATGGTCTTTAACCTGAGCCTCTGTATGCGAGGCGGCAGCATGTCCAGCTCCATCTTGCCGAAGAGAGAAACGAGTGGTAGGTGATCTGTCTCAACATCGAAGGTGATGCCGCGGACGAATTCGTCAAACCGTTGGATAGCCCATGTTGTTTCCAACGCTTCCTTTTCCGTCTGGCTGTAACGCTGCTCTGTCTCGGTCATTGATCTCGAAGCAAAAGCAACTGGGCGGCGCTCTCCAGAGGGCTGTGTCTGCAGCAAGACTGCGCCCAGTCCGAATGAGCTTGCGTCAGCCGAAACTGTGGTGGCGTATGATGGATGGTACTTGGCCATGCAACGGTCTGATGTCAGGAGTTCCTTGATTTTCTCGAATGCAGCATTTTGTTCATGCTGCCACACCCAAGTCGCAGACTTGTTTAGAAGTGCTCTGATGGGAGCTGTGACCTCTGAGATGCAAGGCAAAAACCGGGCAATATGGTTCACCATTCCGAGCAATCGCCGGACACCTGCGATGTCTGTTGGAGCCTCCATGGCTTTGATTGCTTCGACCTTGTCTGGACTTGGCCTGATGCCTTGTGCTGAAACGACGACTCCTAGGAAGGAGACTTCAGAGACACCAAAACGACACTTGTCTTGGTTCAACATGAGGCCTGCTTTTGCAAGGCGAGACAGCACCTGGCTCAGTCTGGCATCGTGCTCCTCGCGGGTGCGACTAAAGACCAGAATGTCGTCTATCATATTGGCGACTCCTTCCTGGCCCTCCAGGATCCTGGCCATCTGTTTTTGGAAGTACTCCGGCACGGAGGTGATGCCAAAGTGAAGCCGGCAGAAGCAGTATCGGCCAAATGGGGTGATGAACATTGTGAGCTCTTGGGAGTCTGCAGATATTTTAACTTTATGAAAACTGGCTGTTGCATCCAGCTTGGAGAAAACTGTTGCGTCGCCAAGGAGGCCAAGGACTTGCTCTACAGTTGGTAGGATGTGGCGTTCCCGAAGGACAACCTTGTTCAGCTGAGTCAAGTCAACGCAGAGCCGGTAGGAACCATCAGCTTTCCGTACTACAACGAGACCAGAGCACCACGGGGTTGGGTTGTCGACCCTGCGGATCACGCCTCCTTCCTCCAGTTTGTCAAGCTCGTGACGGACGACCTCGCGTAGCGGGATGGGAATCCTGCGAGGCACACTTAGGGAGAAGGGTACGGCGTCAGGTCTCAGAAGGATAGTGTACTCGTCCTTGAGGGTGCCCAATCCCTGGAAGAGCTCAGCACGCAATGTTGCTTTCGGAGTCTGAAGTTCGTCGAGAAACTTTACAACTTCCAGAGCTTGAAGCGCCGGCAGTCCAAGAAGAGGTACGGTGAGAAACTGGATCACGTACAAGCGCTGAGAGCTCATTTTCCCGTGCCACCGAAGTCTCGCCATGTACGAACCCAGCACGCGCAGCGGCTGACCGCCAGGTCTGGTGAGCAGGCTGTTGACGGGGTCGACCTTGGCCGGCAATGCAGGGAAGTCGCTCGGAACGGCGGACACCTCGGCTCCGAAATCGACCTTGAACTGCGCTGTGTAGTTGTCAACGGTGATGTCGACGAACTTTGCCGCGGCGGGCGTCCCGACAGCGTGTAGCTGAATGGAGCCGAGCTTCTGTTTTGCCTGCCGCGCGCGGCACACTTCCGCAAAGTGTCCTTTCTTTTTGCAGAAGTTGCAGACGGAGTTTCGAGCAGGGCAGTTAGAACGTGGATGTGGCGCGCGGCCGCAGAATTTACATGTTGACGGCTGGCAGGAGCGCTCTGCTCTCCGCGGGGGCGAAGGCCGCTTATCGTAGTTGCGGCGGCGAGAGGCGAACTTCTTATCTCGTACGGCGTCGAGGTGTAGCTCGCGGGAGTGCTCTGCGCAGTTTTGAGGCAACGTTTTTTGTTTGTCGGCGTCTTCTGATTGACGGGCCTGCATCCATGCTTCTTTGAGCGTCAACTTCGCGTTCCGGCAAAGCTGGTCTGAAAGGCGCGAGTCGCGGAGGCCGACGACGAATCTATCGCGTACAAGCCTTTGTTCCACCTCAGCTGACGGATAGTTGCACCGCTTCACCATTCTACACAGTTCGGCGTAGTAGGCGTCGACGCTCTCGTCGGGTAACTGAACACGCCGGTGAAAACGCGACGACTCGTACAGTTCATTCGCCGGATGCACGAAGTGGTCGGTGAAGCTAGCGGCAACCGCTTGAAATGAGGTGAGTGATGCGGTGTCGAGCGAGAACGTCTCCAGAAGTGGGCGGGCCTCCGGCCCCATGCAGTACAACAACGAGCGTACCTGCATGTCGCCGGATGCTTGAGTCAGGCCGGAAACGACGGCGTAGTCCTCGTAGCGGCGGAGCCATGCTGGCCAGGTTCCCGGGTTCACAAAGTCGAACGGTGCGGGCGGCTGGAGGTTGAGGCTGAGCTTACTCGGCGCCATCGTCGTGCGGTACGGGCGAGTTCGGGATGAGGGGGCGTTACGCAGCCACTTCTGACACCATGTCTTGTGGCTGGTGCCGTGCCAGCGTGGCAGAGCACGAGCGGAGAGAGACGATAGGCACGACAGCTGCTCAGCTAACGAAAAAGGGGCCTCCCACTTTATTCGGGGCAGAATATATACAATCTCCGGGGCGCCATCTGCTAGTGGCAGCCGAACTAAATGACTGAAGGGTGGCGACCTCTACAGACTACCCGACTGCAGCGGCCAGGCTGGCCGCTTCCACGGGAAGGGAATCAGTGTAGGCATCTATTATGCGCTTCATCCTCATCTGAACAGCAGTCAATCACCATCCTATGTTCTGGCTGACAATCATCATCTTCTTGGAACTTGCGCTTCTTTTTCCGAGTTCACGACCAATAAACCTCGTTACAACCGAGTCGTCATAATATATATATATATATATATATATATATATATATATATATATATATATATATATATATATATATATACATACATATATGTATATATATATATATATATATATATATATATGTATATATATATATATATAACGTATGAAGCAATGGTTGGTAGAAGCTGAGGAGGAAGAAGTGAGAATAAAATGAACATGGCGTATGAGCCAGGCCACGTCGCCAATACATCATAGCGTCACACGAGTCGGCAGGATGAAGACCTGGCCGCCACTCATCTGCCTCAAATCATTCACGCAGCTACCGGCAATACGCCTAAACTGAATATCGACTACAGAAGAGGTGATCTCAGGCGCATGCAGTTACCAGCATCATGACAGAACCATCGACTGACCTTCCCATCCCCAAGTACACCGGAGCAGCGGACGATGGACCTGTACAGGACTGGTTCGACCTGTTCGAGCTCCACGCTACCACTGCATCATGGTCGGAACGGGAGATGATCGCTAACTTCACTCACTACATCTCGGGTGAGGCATTTAAGTATTACCTGACAGACATATTCGAAAACGACGAATCATGGCAAAAGATCAGAGAAGAGGTGATTACCCATTTTAACGACTACGACGAGGACTTCCTCATTACTGACCATCTGCACATAACAACGCTCGGCCGTCACAATCCGCGCTCATTTCTCAAGGAATATAGCCTTCCACCATGTTTCTCTTCACGTCAGCCGGTGTTTTCAAAGTCGTCGCTCCAGCGAACGACACGAGACGTTGCTTACCCACCTAATGCACCTCATTTTTCGTCTCGAATACGTTGTCCACCACCCGGCTTTCAATCACGAGGCTCTTTAAGTGCTCCTGACGCTCACCGTTTGCCTCATAAGGACGCCGTGTTTACGATAGACGAGCTGACGCACCGGAAAATTACCCTGTCGAGCCATGCTCCCTCCGCACGGGTTAATGCATCGCCGTCCGGTGCATACACACTCGACAGTCGAAGCAACACCGAAGGCTCAGACGCATTGAATGTCACGCGCTGCAATGCGCAAGAGCCTCTCGTAGTGAACAGGGTAGAAGAAGCTTCTGAGGAACTTTCTATCAACTCTGAAGCGTTATCTTCATTGCCCGAACTGCATGACAACAGCCCACAGACTACCAGCTGCCGACTGGGCACCACATCAAGTTGTCAAGGAAACCAGCGCGATGTTCGAGATGGGATCTCACTACAATGCGTTCCACAGCAACATCAGCAACACCAGTAAAAGCAAGTCCAAGAATCGCAGACAGTTCAGCGGATACACCGACAAGGACGACGACGCAAAGTAAACTTCTTAAAACAAATTCAAGACGTCAGGCATCTTTGCATAAGCGATCGGCTCCAGAAACGCATTTGGCGCAAGAGATCAAGACTGCGCCTACGATTACAGCTCCGAAACCACAGAAAACGACGAAAGAGACGAGAAGGCACCATCTGTAGAATGCAGAGACCAAGACATAATTCTGATTTCATGAGCTGCTACCATAGCACATGCAAACTAGAAGCACACCGTCTGTTCCCGTCACGAGACATAACTCGACACCTTCAACATCCGAACTTCAAGTGCTACAAGGACGTCGACGACAGGCTGTGACGACACCTGATCAATGAATAACTCGATTCACATGTTCGCCTTCGGCTGCGCCGAAATTGTAGCAGTCCTGGATTAAATGAATAGCACAATTGCGTAACTTAAAAAAAACAGGTGTCTTCCACCGTTTGTAATGATGACGATGCTTCATCTTTAGCCCACACCCACTCAGAGGATTGGCCTATAATTGGTTACATGAACTTTGAGGCTTTTTAATTAATAAATATTGGAAACAAAAGAAGGAAAGAATCTACTTAAAACCAACAGAGTGCAATAATTTCTTTTTGTCATCAAGACCAGGCACTATAGTGTAAATTTTGAATATAAGTTACAGTGATATAAAATACGCTTAAATTTTGTTTTCGATTTGTTTATAATGTTATAATAATACATATAAAAATAAGATTTTAGAGACGCGTTCTGTTTGTTTCATGAACATAACTGCAAACACCATCAAGCGCATTCCTGTCGCTGAAGCCCAGAGCCGAAGCACCAAAGGTAAGTATATTGTCAATGGTGAAGGACAGCCCTAGGCTATTGAAAGGGATGACAAGGAGTCGTTTTAATAATATTTTCTTAACCATCTGTAACGGATTGTTTGCTTGCTTGTTCCAATTTTCGGCTCGTAAAAACTACGAGGGATTGGCCATTAAACCGGCGGCTAGTGTATTGCGGAAAAAGGAATTTGAAACTTTGACGAAGAAAAAATAAATATTCGGTCATCTAGGAAACATAAAACGGGACAATTATAAGGTTACCTACGAATAAAGTAGGTAAATTACTATTAATTGATTGAATAAATAAATGATAATTCAAAAGATTTAGAATTTAATTAGCAAAAACGTAACAAGCAAACATTCTTGAGTGTCTACGAAATTCGCAAACTGGTATGCAGACGCCCCTGTTGCTGTGGCCGAAAGAACGACGACATGACAATCTTTGTTTGTTGGTTTGTTTGCTTGTTTGTTCGTTTTTTTGTTGCCTGTGAGCAATGGCACATACCCACTCGGAGGATTGGCCAAGAAAGCTTGTAGTAGTCTATATGTGAGCACTATTCAATGACATGTACTTCCGCAGAACATGGCAATCCTTGCTTCCTTGCTTGTTTCTATATGCTTTGGCGCGTACCCTGAATGGGAGATTCGCAATTAAGCCGGCAGTTATTGTAATTGGGAAAGCGAATTTTAAATTTTGAAGAACAAACAATAATTATTCAATCCTAAAGATAATATAAGAGTGGATAATAATAAGATGACTTACGAATAAAGTAGGTAAATAAAAAGTAACTCAAAGGAACAAATGAATGGTAATTTCAAAGAACTTGTTGGTTAAAAGAAAAAAGAAAGAAAATTTAACAATCAAACCTACGGTATTCTTGTGTCTCTGAGAAACTCACAAACAGCTACGCACACGCTCCTGTTGCTTTGGCCCAGAGAAGAAGCCTTGAGGGAAAGGATACTTTCAGAATTAAGGGTAATGCTCAGTTTTCTAAATATAGTTTGTAAATGTTTCTTTCTGTGGCTTGTGAAACGTCGGCAAATAATAATGAAAAAAGATCGATGTTTTCTGGCTTTTGACAGAAGAGCAAGGGGAAGATGGCACTTGACCAGGCCTGTATAAATAGAAATTAAGAGAGGGAATTCGGCATCGAAATGTTGGGATGTACACTTCTAAGTTGCGAGAGCAGCACCATTTATTTTTTCAAGTAAAAGAAAGATGACCATATTCTTGAACTGGTAATCTAATTTTCATGGAATTCTGGTGTAAACGATATTTACGAAATTAGGATTCAGTGACAAAACTGGTATCAAGTGCAGTGAACATTACAGGACCATCATGGGACCACCGTGCGAGAGTGCTAGCCATTTCATTTATATATATATGTGACGCATTAACAAGGTGATTCTAGGAGAAGCCGACGAAGAGGAAGTGCGTGTGCATTAGAATAAACGCATGGCATTATGCGCCACTAACAATAGGAGAACAACAACAACAACAGCATCTGGACCACGACGTGCCTTCATTTTGTAGCGTCACACAAGTCGACAGGATCGACCTCATCAACGTGCCATGGCTAAGCCCAAGCCTCCACTCCACATACAGAAGTTCAAGGGAACACCAGAAGACGTCCCCATTGACAAGTGGCTTCTTCTTTTCGACATGAAGGCAGCCGAGGCGTCATGGACTCACCGCGATCGGGTCAGTCACTTCAGCGAATACATTGAAGGGGAAGCGTTCAAATGGTACCTGACAGAGATTTTCGGCAACGGCGAGACAACTTGGGACGATATCAAGCGCGGCATGCAAGCCCGCTTTGCTACGACTGACGGAGATGCCTTCCGTCTTTTCATTCACTACCGACTGAAAGGAGGGCAGACCATCAAGGACTACTACGACGAGAAAAAGCGACTGGGTTCCTTGACTGACCTGAAAGAATGCCATATCATTTCTGGACTGACTGATGGTGTTTCTCCTGATGTGGAACTGGCGCTCGCCGGACTGTCTTTCAACTCGTCATTAGAGTGGCTCACCGCTGCTCAACGGGTCGAGACTGTTGTGTTCTGGGTTTTCGGTTTCGGAATGACATGTGAGGATGCCAGGGGGCGCCGTTCTGGCATCCAGGATTTCAAGGCGACTGTAAAATAAAACGAGTGTGCGTTGGGTAACCGTGGAGTGCGGTTGTTGTTCTTCTATTCGGCGCTTCGCGCCAACCCGCGTGTTCGGGCTGGTCGGCCCCGCCGGCTGCGTACGTCTCCGTCGGCTGTCTTCTTCTTCTGCTTCGTCGGGACCAGGCAGCCCCCAACACAGCAGAGACATCTTTAAAATGGGTGAGAGGAGTTTCCTTTACTCGTAACGCTAGTATCGCATCAAGAGCTCCACGTCTCTTAAGCAGACCGCCGCAACCGACAATAACTCCTCAACCGCGTGCC